CTCAATAAATACAGAAAAATTTGACAAAATTTAACATCTGCTCATGATAAAAACTCTCACCATCACCAAAGTGGGTTTAGAGGGAATATACCTCAACATGATGAAGGCCATATTATGAAAAACCCACAGTTAACATCATACTCAATGGTGAAAAACCAAGAGTGTTTCCTTTTTAGATCAGGAACAAGACAAGGATATCCACTCATCACTTTTATTCAACATAGTACTGGAAGTCCTAGTCACAGCAATCAGACAAGGAAAAGAAACAGCATCCAAATCAGTAAGGAACAAGTTAAATTGTCACTATTGCAGATGACACGTTGCTATACAAAGAAAACCCCAAAGACTCCACCAAAAAACTATTATAAGTAAAAAATGAATTCAGTAAAGTTGAAGGATACATAGAAATCATGTTTCTATATGCTAATAATGAAGTATCAGGAAGAGAAATTTATAAAACAATTCCATTTATAATTATTCCAAAAAGAATAAAATACCTAAGAATAGGGGCGCCTGGGTGGCTCAGTCAGTTAAGCATCTGCCTTCGGCTCAGGTCATAATCCCAGGGTCCTGGGATCAAGCCCTGCATCGGGCTTCCTGCTTGGCGGGGAGCCTGCCTCTCCCTCTGCCCCCAACTTGTGCTTGCTCTCTCTCTCTCTCTCTCAAATAAATCTTTAAAAAAAAAAAAATACCTAAGAATAAACTTAATCAAGGAAGTGAAAGACCTATACTCTGAAAACTATAAAACACTAATGAAAGAAATTTAAGGTGCTATAAACAAATAGACATTCCAGTCTCATGGACTGGAAGAACAAATATTGTTAAAATGTCTGTACTACCCAAAGCAATCTACAGATTCAATGCAATCCCTATCAAAACACCAACAATCTTTTTCACAGAACTAAAATAATACTAAAATTTGTACAGAACCATAAAAGACCTCAAAAAGCCAAAGCAATCTCAAGAAAGAAGTTGGAGGTGTCACAATCCCAAATTTCAAGATATACTACAAAGCTGTAGTAATTAAAACAGTATGATACTGGCACAAAAATAGACATATAGGCCAATGGAACAGAATAGAGAGCCCAGAAATAAACCTATGCTTATCTAGTCAATTTTTTTTTAAAGATTTTTTTTTATTTATTTGAGAGAGAGAGAGCACGAGAAGGGGGAGGGTCAGAGGGAGAAGCAGACTCCCTGCTGAGCAGGGAGCCTGATATGGGACTCAATCCTGGGACTCCAGGACCATGACCTGAACCGAAGACAGTCACCTAACTGAGCCACCCTTATCTAGTCAATTAATCTACAACAGAGGAGGCAAGAAAATACAATGGGTAAAAGATGGTCTCTTCAATAAATGGTGCTGGGGAAAATGGACAGCTACATGCAAAAGACTGAAACAGGATCATTTTCTTACACCATACACAGAAACAAACTCAGAATGGATTAAAGGCCTAAATGTGAGACCTGAAACTACAAAATTCCTAGAAGAAAATATAGGCAGTAATCTCCTGGACATTGGCCTTAGCAACATTTTTCTAGATATGTCTCCTAAGGCAAGGAAAATAAAGCAAAAATAAAGTATTGGGACTACACCAAAAAACAAAAAAAAACAAAAACCAAAAACCTTTTGCACAGCAAAGGAAACCATTGACAAAATGAAAAGGCAGCCTACTGCGTGAGAGAAGATATTTGTAAATGATATATCTGCTAAGGCATTAATACCCAAAATATATAAATAACTTAACACCAAAAAATAACAACAAATAATCTGATTTTAAAATGGGCAGAGGTGGACGCCTGGGTGGCTCAGTCAGTTGAGTGCTGACTCTTGGTTTCCACTCAGGTCAGAATCTGGGCTCCACGCTCAGCAGGGAGTCATCTTCCCCTCCCTCTGCTCCTCCCCGCCACCACCACTCGCACACACACTTTCTCTCAAATAAATAAATTTCTTTTAAAAAGTGGGCAGAGGACCTGAATAGACATTAAAAAAAAAATCGGGATGCCTGCATGGCTTAGTCGGTTGAGCTTCTACCTTTGCCTCAGGTCATGATCCCAGGGTCCTGGGATCGAGTCCCCTATCGGGCTCCTTGCTCAGCGGGGAGCCTGCTTCTCCCTCTGTCTGCTGCTCCCCCTGCTTGTGCTCTCTCTAACAAATAAATAAATAAAATCTTTAAAAAAAAAAGACATGCAGATGACCAACAGACACATAAAAAGATGTTCAACATCACTAATCATCAGGGAAATGCAAATCAAAACCTTACACCTATCAGAAGACTAGAATCAAAGACAGATAACAGGTGTTGACGAGGATGTGGAGCAAAAGGAACCCTTGTGCACTGCTGGTGGGAATGTAAATGGATGCAGCCATGCATGGAAGCTCCTCAAAAAATTAAAAATAGACATATCATACAATCCAGTAATTCCACTACTGGGTAATTACCCAAAGAAAATAAAAACACTAATTTGAAAAGATATATTGCACTGTTATGTCTATTGCAGTATCATTTACAACAGCCAAGATATAGAAGCAACCCAAATGTCCACTGACAGATTACAAATCAACCCAAATTAATTGATTTTTGGGTTAATCAAAAGAGAGATTATTCAGACAGACCTTATCTAATCACATGAGCCCTTTAAATCTGGGCCGAGCAATCAGAAATGGAGGAAGTCAGAGACTCAAGCAGTGGACATTTTCCTGCTTCCCTTGAAGGAATAATTGCCATGTTGAGAAGGTCATGGTAGCAAGCAATGGTGGGTGGAGTTGAGAATGGCCTCAGTCAGCTGCCAGCAAGAACACTGAATTCTGCCAAGAATTTGAAAAAGGCCCCAAACCTTGGAGAAGAAAGCAGCCTTATATCACCCATGTGAGACACTGAGAACACAGCCATGCCATGCCAGACTCTTGACCCATGAAAACAGTGAGATTATAGATATGTGTTAAGATGCTAAATTTATGGTAATTTATTACACAACAGAAAACTAATACAGGATCCCTAAGGACAAGGGATATCATCTAGGGAAAGTAGAGGCCTGGGGTACATTAAAGCTACAGAAGCTATGATTCTGCCCCTCTACAGGTTAACTTATGAGTGTCAAAGAAATTGCTGGTGGCCTAAAAGGTGATGTTGGGGCTTCTCTCAAATTCCTCACCATCCTTCAGCCATGCTCAGGCTCTACAATCAGGTAGATCTGAGTCCAAATCTGAGGTCTGCCACTTATTAGCTATATGATCTTGGCCAAATTAACTAGTCTATGCCTGGTAAGTCAGCAAAGATTACTATGTGTGTACAGTGCCAGTATGTATTAAAACACTTAACAAACGTTAGATGATGACAATTGCCATTACTTAGCAACTTTATATACAGGTAAGAGGATTGATGTCTACGCCTTAAAATAAGATGCTGAGAACAGGGAGACTCACTTGCCACTTCTCTATTTCAAAATTCTGGAGCACTTCCTATTGTCTGTGTTTAAATTCTTTGGTAAGACATAGAAGAAACCTTTACAACCTGACACTGTTTTCACCTTTTCACATGTATTGCTTATTCTGCTTGAATCAGCACCTTTGCTTGAAGCCTTTCACCTGGTTGGCCGCTCTCCCTTCTTAACATGTGCCCTTATACAGCCCCATTATCCTATATTTCAATTGTTAACCTGCCAATATTCCAAAAAATTGCACATTGCTCAGTGGTCAGATTTCCATACCCACTGTCTAGCAGAGAACTAGGCAAAAAAGTGGGTAAGTCACACATTTTTAGAGAGATAAATGTTCATTACTTCAATCCTCTAAGAAAAGCTACTTTCAGATAGAACTAAAAACCAATGCTGTGGTCGTAGCTTCCATAGTACGAAGAGATGTTTAAACACTTGGCAATTATTTTTGTTTTCCAGCAATATGCCAGGGTAGGGAGGCGGTCAGGCAAAACTCTCAGCCTCCTCTTCCCAAAGAGAAAACCAAAAGCATAATGAACCTAAACACAAAATGACACACAAAGCCAGAAGGCAATCCTGAAATACCTAAAACAACCTATCTTACTACAAGCTAGAAACCAGGCTAGTCGCTTGGCCTACATGTTGGTTCACTAGAGAGGAGTGCTTCTTAATGTACATACCAGTTACGGGGGCTCTTGCTAAAAGGCAGAATCTGGTGGGGAGGGGTAAAAGAGCCAAGAATGTGCATTTCTCATAAACTATGCCAATGCTGTTGGTCTCCTGATCTAGACCTCCAGCCTAGACCTGTGCTGCCCAATAAGGCAGCCACTAGCCACATGTGGGGCTCTTAAGCCCCTAAATCCAGCCAGTCTGAATTTAGATGAGCTGGAAGTCTAAAATACATACCTATTTTGAAGACTTAGTACTAAAAATAAGATAGTTCAGGTATTTGTACAGATTTTATATTGAACTAATACTGTATTGTATATAAGGGTTAAATCAAATGCGTTATTTCAGTCTTTTTTAAAAATTTCCTATGTGGCTCGCGCCTCACATATTTCTACTGGACAGCGCTGCCCTAGACTGACAACACGCCTAACTCTGAAGCTTCCACTACTGCGAGACTTCAAGAATAAAAGAGAATCCATCTCCTCCCTTAAGTGTTTCGAAAACATACCTTTTATTTCTCAACTATATGACACAACCAGAAATAAAAATGAACTAAAATGAAAACCAAGGTTTTATTAAATACACATATATGTAAATATATATACACACACACACAGAGCCCTCTCATTTCGGCTTAGGCTCCACCTAGAACACTACTTTTATCTCCCTCTGGTTCCCACGCCACAAGATCGAATCGCGTACAGGAAAACAATAACAAAAAAGCGGTCTCCGACCTGAAGCCAAACCCGGCCGTCCCCGCCGCCCAAACCGAGGCTGAGAAAACCGGTCGTCAGCTGGCAGTGCCTCCCGGGCTCCACCTCCTCCAGCGCCGACCTCCCCAAGATGGCGGGCGGCGGGGGCCGGCTTCTGCTTCCGGTGTGAGCAGCCGGGCCGGGGGGGCAAGATGGCGGCGGCAGTAGGGGTCCGCGGCCGGTGCGAGCTGCCGCCGTGCTCCGGCCCAGGCTGGCTCCTCAGCCTTTCCGCCTTGCTGAGTGTGGCGGCTCGAGGGGCCTTCGCCACCACGCACTGGGTCGTCACGGAGGACGGGAAGATCCAGCAGCAGGTAGCGGCCAGGGCGTCCCTCTCCGCCCGCGCCCGCCCTCGCCCCGGGGGATTCCCAGGTCCGGGCCCTGGCTGTTTGGCTCCACGCGGTCCCGCCCCCAGCCTACCTTCCCACGGTCCCGGCGCCGCGGCCCGAGCGATCCTAGTACTCAGACCCGGCGTAGCCCCCTCCCCATTTGTCCTCTGGCCCTCGCCTCAGCCTCCTGCAAGTTCTTAGCCTTCCACCCCTGGGGTAGCTTGCCGCGTGGGTAGAGTCGCCCGGCCGTGGGGGGTCGGACTCTGGGGACATGTTGTAGTGCTTGGGCTTTAGAAACCGCAGATTCATTATCCTTGCCTCTTCCTCTCGGGCCCACCACGCGTCACCAGCCCTCCCCGAAGAAGTAGAAAGCATGTGGCAGCGCCGGGGTGTGCGCGAGCCCCAGGGCGGTGACAGCTTCGGCACTCCTAGGCAGTGGGTCATCTAATGCTTCTTCCCCCAGTCTCCTCTTCCACATGTGTCGGGCTGTGGTGGTTTCAGCTTGTACCGTTACCCAGGTCAGCAGGGGCTCTTTAGAGACAACACACACTTTCCTTCCGAAGGAATGCTTGAAGATGCCTCTGGTGGCGTTGCCTGCATCTTTTCAGCTGAAACTGCCCTCGTTTCCCAGTGTACTTTGCATTGTTTCTTTACCTAGTTCCTGTGACCCAGCCCCGCAAGGAGGATATGCGATTTCCTGGATTGTTGTGTGCCCGAACTAATTGCTCAGAGGAGAGATTGCTTTTCTTACATAACTTTATGATTGCCTACATTTTGTGAATGCTGCTGATCCCTCAACAGTACGTGTGTGTGCTCTGCTACAGAATCTTGGTAAACTTAATGACTTCCAACACTTCAGAGCAATCCTGAAAAGTCCAGCAAACATTTAGCAAGTGAATTGTGTGCCCCATGCAATTTAGCTCACTGATTTCAAATGTATTAATCATTATCGTGTGAAATTATGGACCTTTGGGTTGTGTGTAATGAATGATGATAGGAACACAATGCCAGGTTTACTTTTGTATAAAGTGAAGTTCACGTGATGGCAAATTTTACCTCAAGTATAATGAGTGAGTTAAACAATTTAAAAATCGGGTTGGCATTGGTGAGTGGTTTTCAGTATATGTGAGAAAAAGGACTGGCTTTTTATTGGATGGCATTTTCTATATACCTAACTTATATTAGAAGAAATTTCCTTTTCATGGCCATACCATTTTAGATTTAAAAGATAGGTATGTGTTTCAGAAACTAGATTAAACACTGCTAGTTCTTTCCTTAACAAAAGGTTAGAAATCTTATGTGAGTCCTGGCTGCTTCCTCCACCCCTTTTCTTTTGTTTCCTGATGATAGTTTTCCCTGAGGCCCTCATGAAGGGATACATGGAATTAAGTCACTCTTGCAATTTGGGGAGCCCTTCTCCTATTGGCTCTTCTGCAATATTGTTTTTGGCCACAGCTATTTATATACTATGACATTGACTTCTCCTTCCCATTTTGGTGTCCTGCCACTCAGCCAAGGAAGTAGCCCATCTGAAAAGTGAAAGCTGGTAGAAATGTATTATTTGCTGAACCTTGCAATGGGAAAGTAGAACCTGATTTGTGTAAAAAACAAAACCAAAACCAAATTCTTTCTTTTTGCACATTGGATACTTATGTTTTAGTGGGGCGGGGGGAAGGTAGGTGTTACCGTTAACTTGCCTCAGAAAGGGAGAAATCTGAAGAATATTTTGGAAGTCTGCCAAGTACCCCTGCAGTTAGTAGTTAGACTTAAAGTTAGGAAAGCAAGATTTCTTTACTACAAGCTTTTAAAAATTATCTTTTTCAGTGAATTTTCCAGTACTTTGCTACATAGCATTTACAATGTTAAGTTCAGAGAACCACAAAATTTTATATCAGAAGAAATAAAGTTGGTGTCTACAGCGTAACAAGAAGAGACTAAGGGGGTGCCTGGGTGGCTTAGTTGGTTAAGCGACCCACTCTTGTTTTTGGCTCAGGTCATGATCTCTGAGCTCAGCATGAAGTCACTTGTTCCTCTCCCTCTGCCCACCCCCTAACCTCCCCACGTGTGCACTCTCTCCCTCAAATAAATTTAAATTAAACAAAACAAAACAAGAAGAGGCCAGGGAAGGAAAGTTGGATTTAATCTGAGGGAAAAGCAACACTTATAAATAAAGTTAAGAGAGTTGAATACATGATCAGCTGCTGAGTGCCACTCTGATAGTTGTGCATGCATTATCCATGCTGCCCTTCCTGGCAGTAATATGAATGCAGGCAGAATCCAAACCTCAGTTTTGATTGTAATTAATTATCACATTTGTTTATGGTTATTAAAGAATTGAAAGATCCTTTAGTATATGGATTTGGGTATACTACAGATCTATTCATATGTTCAGAAACAAAAGCTTTACATATATATAGGATATATATATATATGTAAACGGTATATTATATATATAAATGATATATATGGCGCAGTCGGTTAAGCGACTGCCTTCGGCTCAGGTCATGATCCTGGAGTCCCGGGCATCGGGCTCCCTGCTCAGCGGGGAGTCTGCTTCTCCCTCTGACCCTCTTCCCTCTCGTGCTCTCTCTCTCTCATTCTCTCTCTCTCAAATAAAATCTTCAAAAAATAAAATATATATATATAAATGATATCTTAACTGATGTACCAAATGCCTTGCTACTTGTTTTTCGTTATAATAGCTGAATGAAAACAGAAGGGTGCTTTAATTTTAAAGTGGTCTAATATCAGGGAGAGGGCTAAGGGCAAACTGAAATGGCAATCTTAGAATATTAGAGTGGCAAATACCTTTTGAAACTCTTTGCCTGATATTTAAACCTGTCCAAATTAGATATAATAGGTAATTGTTTTCCATTTTGAACTGGAGAAGTACTTATGAATTAAAAATCTGAATTGCCCAAAATACAGATTTACACAGGGATAGTTAACATCACTATAGTTAAAGTTTTAAGTACATTAAGCAGTTCTTCCCAGAAGAAGAGAACATTTGTTTGATTTTTCTATTTCAAGCCTTAGCAAATGATAAAGGTAAGTACCCACAAGTTAGGGACTGCTGACTTGTGAACATGCAAATGTGTCAGAAGCCCTAGATCTGTAAGGGGCTTGAAATGGGACTTCAGTTAGAGCCGGAAGCAGCCATTCCTCCAGGCAGCCTCCTCACTGTCAGAGCTGTGGTTGCTTCTGGCAGTAGCAAGTAGTGAGCACTTGGCGTGGCAGCTCAGGGAATTGTTCCTTTCCACAATCCCTGCCTGAGCTGGGAAGCGTGTATATGTTTTTAGGTTCCATGTTCACTGAGCTGCCACTGAACTCCCCGGAGCATTGTCCAGGGAATCATGGAGCTGGGATGTGAAGAGAATGCTCTAGTCTCTAAGTTCCTGTCCCACTGCAGTCAAGGGACAGCTAAGAAAAGGTGCTCCGCTTCTCTTCAACTATAGGTTTTCCTCCCAGCTTTGGGCTTTGACATACCTCTGATCACCTAGTGCCCCCCCTGTACCCTAAATAAAGCAAGGATCCTTGGGGTCCATGGACTTATAGTGAGCTATTGGATGGATTACTAGGAGGATCTATGTGTAATCAGGTCAATGGATCATTTGGTTGACTTCATTGTGAAGAATAGGCTTTAAGATAAATTTTGTGGGTTTTTTGTTTCCTTTTTTCTATTTTTTTCTTCATTACTAGTATGGCAACATTTATTTTCTATTTTTACCAAAACCGTCTGGAGAGTCACTTGAATGGAAGGTTAAATGAACTTTTGTGAATTAGCCTAAGATCCTAACCATTAATGTATCACATCATTTCTATGGAAAAAACAACATTCCATGTTCTAAATTACCAGGTAACAGATGAATTCCTGAAATGTTACCAGTTTGTCTTAGACTTACTGAATTCAAAAGTGGTACTTCTAGCCCTGGGTTCATTGCCTCTTGATAGTCTCTTTATAAGTGGAGGTCTAAAACTTGAAGTAAATAAAGAGTATAATCGTTACCAACTCTGTCATAACATTATAATACTTCTTTTCTTGGCTACTGTTTCCCTCTTCTCTAAGATCCATAGAACTTTAGATTTGGAAACAATTCTTAAAGGATATGTAGTACAACTCAGGAGAGAAAGTCGTCCAAAGTCACACAACTAATGAGTGGCATTTAGTGATAGCAGTAAATAAAAATCTGTAGTAGCATGCAGGTGAGCAGCTTGTACTCAGTACGATTGAAGTACTCCCCCCTGCTTCATAGTACCTACAAATGAAAGAATAGAAAGAAAAGGAAAAGGAAAAATGGGAATAATGAAGTAAAAAGTCTTCTCTTGGCCAGTTTGCTTTACCTCTGCAGAATATTTTGTGGTGACTTTTAAGTTGGGAGTGGGTGTGAATTAGGTGTGAGTTAATTTGGGGTTATTTAATCATTTTGCCTTCTCTCAAGCTAATGTGTTTAGAGTACAGATCCTTTTAACCGCTTAGAACAAATGAGGTTTCTAGTAAAACCGATGCTCTGAAGCCTAGCAACCTTGGCATAAGAAGTGTTTGACAGGCAGTTATTTCAGCAACTGTGATTTGGACAAGGGCTATCGGATTTAGTTGGACAGACAGGCTAAATCTTAATCTCTTGGTCTTTAATAGTTTATAAGTGAAGGAGTGGTTTAATTTGGGTCTGATATTAAGTAATTGCTTCATCTGGGAGAGGGCATCCAGATGATACTATGAAGCTGACAGCTTTCTTTCAGTACTTTTCAAACGGAGCCCATCTTTTTGTCATAAAGTGTTGTTTCTATGTTTATACACTTGAGGGATTTACTTGGACCTGAGAGGTCATGGTGGCTTATTCACTAACTTGCTAAACCTTTGCAGTTTGTCCTAGACGTTGGCATCAAAGCGATTCTCATTCAATCCATTTTTTTAGACTTCCCACTATTACCTTTTTTTCTTATAAATCACCGAGGTGTTAACTTGGTTTATACTTACAGTAGTT